CTGTATTTTAACAGTGGAGGGATGGAGGCCAAAGAAGAAAAAGGAAAGAAAAAAAGAAAAAAGAAAAAAAAAAAACACCCACGAGGGGAAGACCCCAACCTGGGTGGAAGTTACACCAGTGCTTGGAGGAATGTATCTGGCCAGGATGTGAGGACTGTGAGACATGTTATTTTCTTTGTTTTCTTTTTGTTGTGAGGTCCTTGTAGCGCTGGCAGGGTGGATTCCACGCATCAACTGGGTGTAGCTCAGTTGGTAAGGCGTTCAAGCGGCACTCAGGAGGTCGTGGGTTCAACTCCCATTGCCCCCACGATAGTGCCTATGGCATGCTTAGCGTCTTACCTTCGAGATGGTCAGTTGGTAAGCAAGTACGTGGTAGCTCAGTGGCAGAGCTCCGGTGTTGCAACGGGGAAGTTGTGGGTTGGACTTTGTCGGCCTACAACTTCCCCTGAGCACAATTGGTTGGTGTAGGTTGCACCCCACGTACTTGTCCCGAGCCTGGCATAGCGCCCTTACAGAGTAAAGGGTTGGTTGGGTGCATGGTGATACCGTGGCAGTCCTATGGTGGGGAGGGTTGCCTTGTAGGAAAACCAATGTCGAATCCAGAGGTGTGTCCTACTCTCAATGTCTGTGGACCCATTTCGGGGTGGTGGGTCATCAGAGGTAGGTTGGGGGTAGTTGTTAGACGACGGTCGAGGTCTCCACCATTACCACTGGTTGATTCTCCCTAGCGAAAAGACATAAGCAAGGCTCATTAGTAGCAGAAAGCAACCACACATATCCATAATGTCATAGACTATGATATCACATTAGCTCACATAACAACCAGCATACTCAACAACTAACAGTAGACATACATGATCCGAGTTGTGCTAGGTTAGTAGTTAAGAGGGGCTCATAGGTTAAGACCTTGGTTAGTTGACCATTAGACACTGCCTATGAGTGCCCTCACTACTCACTGGACTAGCTGAGAACTATGTGCCTAGCTCCCGAGGTTCCCGTATAACGAGGCTTGTACGCTAGTGCCTCAACTGGGGCTGAATGGGGGAGTTCATTCAGCGTCAGTGCCCGCGTCCGCTCTGGTCAGGTTGCTCCAGTAGTGAGTGATGTTCCTCGGATGAGGTAAGATAGAAATGGAGTGGGGGTGCGCCAGGAGATATATCGATAGGAGTGGTGGGATGGGAGTCTTGTGAGTAAAAAAAAAAAAAAAAAAAAAAAAAAAAAAAGGGCGGATTCCACTCAAGGCAGCTAACTGCCTCGCTTCGTTCAGTTCCAGACAAGTACTAAAGCATCCTGTATTGGATCGCAATCTGAGCATAAGGGATGCTATTTTTTTTTATCTGCTGTTCGTGGGTAGACGAGGGCCCTGACTGAACTGCTACCTAAAGGCAGGTCGAGTTTAAACTGCAATTAAAACTCAGCCCCTGACTGAAGTGCGAAATCAGTGTTTCGAATGCAATTACAAACTATTTTCGTGACTGCACCGTAGTTACCCAAAAAAAGAAAGGGTGCCCGAAGTGCCATTGCAAACTGTATCTTTATTCTTATTATTATTTTTTGAAAAGTCCTTGTGGTGAGAGAACCGCTAGAATTGAGGGTTTAGCTGTCAAGCTGCTCCATCTATTGGTGGGGAGCGACACCTGCTGGAAACCGGGCCCAGCCTCCCATTGATACATCCTTGAACCCAATGTTATTTGTTTTTTTTTCCTGGGGCCATAGCCTTCGCAGTCTTCATACCCTCTAATATCACCCACCCTTTCTTGGAGCACCCTCTATCTAGTGGCTCTACCCCTCCCCGAAAATTGGACGATGCGAGATGGTTGAGTGGGTTAGTGCAACTCCAGGGGTACAGTCATATGACCTCCGCTCTTGGGCAGCCTCTCAAAAATTGGAGGACTTCTTGAAAATGGTGGAAGACAGGTGGCATGATCCGCAGGAGGCTCAAAAGGCCACTGATGCGATCCTGACACTGCACACGCAACAGTTTAAGTCAGTAAGGGATGCCACCGACGCTGTAGAGCGTTTGATTTGTGTTCCAGGGGTACCTTATGACCCCCAGGTCCTGCTAACTTCGTACCTGAGGACCTTATCTCTGCCGCTCAGGAACCAATTGGCAAAAGAGGCCAACATTAATATGCACAACTTTCCTTCGTTCAGCAAGGTGGCCCTAGACCTAGAAGCAAAGATAGGGTATGGATAAGCACCCACTACGGAAGGGAGAAAGAAGACACTGCCTCCCAACTGGAAGGCGAAAAGTCAAATCATGTTTGTCGACAACGATGGATCAACCATCGAGTTGGACGGCAACTTCCAGGAGGGAGTAGGTGCAGAGGCGGATGGCGAAACTTCAGAGGGTGGAGTAGTCGCCGTCGTACAGCAAAAAGGTAAAGGGACCGGTAGACGCCCTAGGGGATCCCGGTCGAAGAGTCAAACAGACCCCAATGCTCCTCCATGGGAGAAAGCGGGTCTAGCTGAGGACGTGTGGAGAGATCAGTGGGCACGACAAGCTTGTATCAAGTGTGGCCAATATGATCATAGCATGTACAAGTGCCTCAATAGGAAGGTCACCGAGAAGATCCCGCCCACTATGGGGTCGGCAGTAGGATCCTCTCAAACCGTTGGTAGCAACGTTGCTAGTTCTTCAGGTAGTGCTCCGGGAAACACATCCGGCCAGTAGCGATAGTAGCTGTTCTGACTAGGGTCGCGATGGTGGATTCACCCTCACCTTCGCGAGAGATGGCCCAAGCTACAGACTCTTCAGTCGTCCCGCAAACACATTCAGACCCATCGACCCTCTGTTTGATGAATGTGTTTGAATCCTTAGAGGAGCTAGAGCATGAGTGGTCCAGATCAGATCCACTAGCTTCTTGGACGACGTTAGTTAAAACTCCTAAGAGTGAAATGTTTGTCAGCGAGGTAGTCATAGGAGGCCGCAAGGCCGGGGCCTATTACGACACTTGCTCGACTAGAAACTTTATGAGTCGCGTGTGCGTTGAGAGGCTGAGCTTACAAGGGCAAGTGCAGCGCCTGAGTCGACYTGTGGAGTCGACCTGTGCCAACAAACAGCGTATGGTAGTTAATGACTACCTCCCTGATGTAGAGTGTGTTTTCCCGTACGCGGGAGGGGACTTGAGACATCGTGTCTCGTTCCTGGTCAGTGACGAGCTCCCAATGGACATGTTACTAGGTATGTACTACCTCTCTGTAGCACAGCCCCAGTTTGACTGGGACAAAAAAGTGGTCAAACACACGTTGCAAGGTGGAGGGACCGCCAGATTACAAAAGTTCAAAGCTAGTAGTCTGATTGAGTCCTATGGGTGCAYGTGTGCGGCCGCATTCTATAATTATTATAAGCAAAATCAGGAGGAGGGTACGTACTTAGTCTATGTCTCTGCTGCAGGCGAGCCGGGGAAAATGCCGCTAGAGATAGAGGGAGTAGTTGCTAAGTACCCTGATCTATTTGAAGAGCCGACAGGGGTTGTTGAGAGGGAAGTCGTCCACGGGATAGAGATTATCCCAGGGTCTAGTATTCTAAGAGGTAGGATCTATCGGATGTCTCCAGGCGAGCTTGATGAGCTTCGCCGCCAACTCAACGTAGAGAAGGGTTGGATCCGACCGAGTGTCTCTCCTTATGGGTCTCCAGTTTTATTCGTACCTAAGAAGAAGGAGGGAACTCTAAGGATGTGCATTGACTATAGGGGCCCCAATGCCATCACGGTGAAGAACAGAGAGCCCCTACCGCGCATCGATGATCTGTTAGATAGAGTGCAAGGGTGTCGGTACTTCGGTAAAATACATCTGAAGTCCGGGTACCATCAGATTGCAATCCGGCCCGAGGACCAACACAAAACCGCATTTCAGACCACGTACGGTCTATACGAGTTTGTGGTGATGCCTTTTGGTCTTTGCAATGCTCCTGGCACCTTTCAGCACGCGATGAATCGGATATTCCATGACTACTTGTATAAGTTTGTCGTCGTGTACGTCGATGACATACTTATTTTTAGTAAGACTGTCGAGGAACACGTAGCACACTTAGACAAAGTTTTGAGTCTCCTGCGACAACACAAGTTCAAGAGCAACGGTGAAAAGTGCGAGTTTGGCCGCACCCGTATCTTGTACTTAGGTCATGAGATCTTCGCGGAAGGGTTGAAGCCCGATGACGCGAAGGTGGTCAACATTCGTGATTGGCCACGTCCTCAGTCTGTGACTGAGATGAGATCTTTCTTAGGAATGACAGGTTACTATAGGACTTTCGTTAAGAACTATAGCATTGTGGCCGCTCCTTTGACTGATCTGACCCGCCTTGACACCCCTTGGGAGTGGACAGATGAGTGCGAGGCTGCTTTCAGACATCTGAAGCATGCATTGACGCACTATGAAGTCTTGAAGCTACCCGATCCTGATAAGCCATTTATAGTAACCACGGATGCTAGCCAATATGGCATTGGCGCCGTGCTTGCACAGCAGGAGGGGCCAAAGTTGAGGCCAGTAGAGTACATGTCCAAGAAAATGCCGTCTCAGAAGTTGGCTAAGTCCACTTATGAGAAGCAACTCTATGCGGTATACAAGGCTCTCACCCATTGGAGACACTACCTCCTTGGGCGGTTCTTCATCCTCCGGTTGATCATCAGACCCTGAGATGGATGAGAACACAGTCGGTACTCTCTGACACTCTCAAGCGTTGGATCGAAGTCATTGAGCAATATGACTTTGACCCTCAGTATCTCAAAGGGGAGTACAACAAGGTTGCTGATGCCTTGTCGCGCAGACCGGACTTCTCCGGTGCGCTGATTACTGAGTTCGATCTGACGGACGATGTTACTCACTCTTTGGCGGAAGCCTATCGTCAGGACCAGTTTATGTCTGAGATCATATGCAGACTTGAGGCGAAGGATAAAAAGACCTCCGCCGAGTTTGAGTTGGTCAATNAAGTCTTGAAGCTACCCGATCCTGATAAACCATTTATAGTAACCACGGATGCTAGCCAATATGGCATTGGCGCCGTGCTTGCGCAGCAGGAGGGGCCAAAGTTGAGGTCAGTAGAGTACATGTCCAAGAAAATGTCGTCTCAGAAGTTGGCTAAGTCCACTTATGAGAAGGAACTCTATGCGGTATACAAGGCTCTCACCCATTGGAGACACTACCTCCTTGGGCGGTTCTTCATCCTCCGGACTGATCATCAGACCCTGAGATGGATGAGAACACAGCCGGTACTCTCTGACGCTCTAGAGCGTTGGATCGAAGTCATTGAGCAATATGACTTTGACCCTCTGTATCTTAAAGGGGAGTACAACAAGGTTGTTGATGCCTTATCGCGCAGACCGGACTTCTCCGGTGCGCTGATTACTGAGTTCGATCTGATGGACGATGTTACTCACTCTTTGGCGGAAGCCTATCGTCAGGACCAGTTTATGTCTGAGATCATACGCAGACTTGAGGCGAAGGATAAAAAGACCTCCGCCGAGTTTGAGTTGGTCAATGGATTGCTGTTCCTAGAGAAGGCAGGGAATAAATGTTTGTGCGTTCCAAATAGCGAGTCTTTGCGTAGTTTGTTTTTAGGCGAGTGTCATGATGCCACCGGCCATTTTGGGTACAAGAAGACCGCAGCCAACTTGCTGCAGCGGTTCTGGTGGCCAACAATGATGAAAGATGCACAGCTGTACGTGGAAAATTGTCAAGTATGCCAGAGAGACAAGCCCCGTACTCAGGCTCCTCTTGGGCTGATCAAGCCCCTTCCGATTCCGGAAAGGCCGGGTGAAAGTTTATCCATGGACTTCATGGATACGCTGGTCACCAGCAAGAGTGGGATGAGACAAATCTTTGTCATCGTGGATAGGTTTAGTAAGTTTGCTAGATTAATAGTTATGCCAGAAACTGCAAAGACCGAATACGTGATCAGGCTATTTAAAGAAAACTGGGTTAGAGACTTTGGACTGCCGAAGTCTATAGTCAGTGACAGGGACGTCAGGTTCACGAGCGAATTATGGAAGGCTGCTGCAGCTAAACAAGGAACTCAACTGCAGATGACTTATGGAAATCATCCAGAAGCTAATGGCCAGGCTGAACAAATGAACCGCGCTGTGCAACACCTGTTGAGGCACTACATCAAGCCCAATCAGGTAGACTGGGATGAAAAGTTTGCTCTAGTCGCTTGTCTATATAACAAAGCTGTGCACAGTGCTACCGGAACGAGTCCTAACAGTCTATAACTGACATTCAAGCCTAGACTGCCCTTAGATTTCCTACTTCCAGACAACCAGCCAACTGCTACACCGGGCACTCTGGAGTTCGCCTATAGATATGAACARAAGATGCAGGAGGCTGTAGAACACATGCAGAAGGCACAGGCAGCAATGATAGAGTCTTAGAATAGACACCGCCGCCCTTCTACATTTCAGGTAGGGGACAGAGTCTGGGTCAAATCTTCAGAACTGGGACAGGAGTTCGGGATATCCCGCAAACTCATGCCTCAGTACTTTGGACCTTAGGAAGTTTTAGACATAGTAGGGATAGATCCTGATGGTCCATCATATGTCATCCGTATCCCTGGTCATCTCAGAACTTACCCAGTCTTTCACGCCTCTAACCTCGCTGCATTCGAGGAAACTGATCAGTTTCCCTCTCGTCGATCCATGCTGCCCCCAACCATGGACGGAGAAGTCGACATCGATGATATCGTTGACCACAAGGAGATGCGTGTTCAAAAGCCTCCAGGAAGGGGACGTCCTTCAAAGCCAAAGCTGCAGTTCCGAGTCCACTTCAGACATCATACAGATCCGAAGGAGGACCGTGGTTTACTCGGGAGGAACTGATGCAGACCGCTCCTCAAATCGTTGTCCGCTATGAGAAGGATGTATTGAAAGGAAAGCGCCAGATGGCTACAGATTGATCTTCGAAGAGGACTAACGAAGATATGGAGGAGGGAATGCGAGGCTACGCCCGCTTAGCCCCTACGGGGCCCTATTTGCAACAAGGTAGGCCGCCCTAAGTGAAGGCAGGCACGACAGGCCCTTCGGGCCTCATTCTTCAGGGTACCCCGCAACGGGGAAATTCAGACAGTTGCGCTGCGCCAGTTGGTTGAATGAATCCAGGCCCTGGGCCGCCTGTGTAAATAAATGTGAAGTAGGCCCTGGGCTGGATACGGGTACCGGGCCAAACACAGGTCGAAAGAAGTTGGGCGCATGCAACCACTTTAGGCCGAAGGCGTGCTCTCTTCGTCACTGGGCCTGTGCCTACCGGGGCCTATCGGAAGCTTCCTGGATTGGACGCAGGCAGGCCACTTGGATATAGGGAAGGGCCTGCCTCCTCATTCGGCATTCGGGGGCTGGCTGCATGCTGCGTGAGCGCTGCTGCGCAATCCGCTGGCTGGCTGGCACTCACGCTCTCACGGGCGAGTAGGAGGGAGCACGCAGCCATAGCCAAGTTGCGCTGCTGTATGCTAGGTGAAGCGCAGGGTGGTCCTTGGGCTGCTAGTGGCATCTGTGCAGTGTGGATCGGGGTTGTGAGTGTTACGAGAGACATACCTGGTGCTGAAGCGTGCGACATTGGTCGCCATATGCTCGTACTTCGGGAACGCTGTTGATGTCATCATTCTGCTTCGTAGTATAGGTTAGATAGGATATGCCACCTGTAGTCTGGGCGCCGAGCGCCAATAGGATATCAACTCTGGTTCGTAGTTGATGATGATGGGACTACTTCAATATTTTCAATTTTGAACTCTTGGTGTGTTCTTATTTGGTGTATCTCGTGATGCTTGTCTGCTGTGGTTCGAGGTCAAGACTATCTGGGCTCATATGTATGATGCTGTTTGATTGTTGAAGTTCGCTAATGCTCATCTTCCTTGCAATTTGGTATCGGAGCNGGACGGAGAAGTCGACATCGATGATATCGTTGACCACAGGGAGATGCCTGTTCAAAAGCCTCCAGGAAGGGGACGTCCTCCAAAGCCAAAGCTGCAGTTCCGAGTCCACTTCAGACATCATACAGATCCGAAGGAGGACCGCTGGTTTACTCGGGAGGAATTGATGCAGACCGCTCCTCAAATCGTTGTCCGCTATGAGAAGGATGTACTGAAAGGAAAGCGCCAGATGGCTACAGATTGATCTTCGAAGAGGACTAACGAAGATATGGAGGAGGGAATGCGAGACTACGCCCGCTTAGCCCCTACGGGGCCCTATCTGCAACAAGGTAGGCCGCCCTAAGTGAAGGCAGGCACGACAGGCCCTTCGGGCCTCATTCTTCAGGGTACCCCGCAACGGGGAAATTCAGACAGTTGCGCTGCGCCAGTTGGTTGAATGAATCCAGGCCCTGGGCCGCCTGTGTAAATGAATGTGAAGCAGGCCCTGGGCTGGATACGGGTACCGKKCCAAACACAGGCCGAAAGCAGTTGGGCGCATGCAACCACTTCAGGCCCAAGGCCTGCTCTCTTCGTGACTGGGCCTGTGCCTACCGGGGCCTACCGGAAGCTTCCTGGACTGGACGCAGGCAGGCCACTTCGATATAGGGAAGGGCCTGCCTYCTCATTCGRBATTYGGGTGCTGGCTGCATGCTGCGTGAGCGCTGCTGCGCAATCCGCTGGCTGGCTGCATGCTGCGTGAGCGCTGCTGCGCAATCCGCTGGCTGGCTGGCACTCACGCTCTCACGGGCGAGTAGGAGGGAGCACGCAGCCATAGCCAAGTTGCGCTGCTGTATGCTAGGTGAAGCGCAGGGTGGTCCTTGGGCTGCTAGTGGCATCTGTGCAGTGTGGATCGGGGTTGTGAGTGTTACGAGAGACATACCTGGTGCTGAAGCGTGCGACATTGGTCGCCATATGCTCGTACTTCGGGAACGCTGTTGATGTCATCATTCTGCTTCGTAGTATAGGTTAGATAGGATATGCCACCTGTAGTCTGGGCGCCGAGCGCCAATAGGATATCAACTCTGGTTCGTAGTTGATGATGATGGGACTACTTCAATATTTTCAATTTTGAACTCTTGGTGTGTTCTTATTTGGTGTATCTCGTGATGCTTGTCTGCTGTGGTTCGAGGTCAAGACTATCTGGGCTCATATGTATGATGCTGTTTGATTGTTGAAGTTCGCTAATGCTCATCTTCCTTGCAATTTGGTATCRGAGCTGTGGTACGATTGCGCTCATCTGGCGCTTGTCTTCTGCCTTATACGGTACATACATGCGGTCTGCTGGGAGAGTTTGGCCGTAAGTGGTGTGTAGTGAGGAGGGTGGAGACGAGTGTGAAGGCGACCCAGGTGGTGAGGGGCATCGCCTGGAAGGCTAAGGTGTGAATAATGGGTATTCGCAGTGTGATGAGAACTATCTGTTTGGTGATTGAGGCTGAGGTGGAACGGCAAAATGCTGGTTGTGCCGATGCTGTGACTGGTCATCGCAATCATCTTCAGGTCATCTGGTGAGATTATCTCTGTGGTTGGGGGCAGCATGAGCAAGGTACGTTGCTCTTAACCTTATCTACCCTCTTCATCACTTCTTACCGTGAGGTTGTGAGTTCTGTCTTGAGAGTCCTCTCATCGTGAGGTGTCGTGTGCGCTCAACCTTGAGAGTCGTGATTGTTCACGTGGAGCATCTGGGAGAAGACAGGCTCTCATCGTGAGGTGTCGTGTGCGCTCAACCTTGAGAGTCGTGATTGTTCACGTGGAGCCTCTGGGGGAAGACGGGCGGAGCTTCTTGAAGGGCCCTGGACGAAGCACCGGGTCATGGTCACCATGCCAACCCACTGGGTGTAGTACACGCATGCTTTGCTGCAAGTTGTTGGTTCTGCTGCTTGCGCATGATAGGGGTTAACTCGAGTGTGGCAGCCTCTACAGACGCTTACCAGACCGTCTATAAACATTTTTGGCTGGGGACTCGGCTCTGATTTGGCTGTGATCGTCGTCCTGCTGCAACTTAAAATAATTCCTGATGTCACTTGGGGGCGGACGTTAAATTGCCTCTTGATCAGCCAGATCATCCGAGTGGAAGGCTCGAAGGCGTACGAAGGTAAATAAGAGTGTTGTGGCTGCCTTGCTCGACGATAACCCGGGGCACAGGGGTGGGACCGGATTGCACATCTTTGAGACACGCTTGGTTTCTGATCCAAAGAAACGTGACACCGTGACATTGGGAAGAACAAAGGGAGGGGTAAATTTCAGATGATGAGTTCGGGTTTAAATTCCAAACTGTGAACAGACCCGGTCAGTCAACATTATTTTTATTATTGATTAGTTAGATGGACAACCATGTGACATCTGACAGACAACATTAGTTTAAAATATTATTTATTCCTGATGTTTTCTCTGTTTGGGAACTAATCTTGCTAAAAATAGTATTGACAATAGGAACCTCACTTACCTGTTGACCCCAAATGAGATCTGTTCTGAAAGCCACCACTAATTAGTTAGTCTGTGTACTAAGCTGCGGTAGGCATCTAGAATGATCTAGTGTGGACAGTRCACAGTGCTGTAGCCTATGAGCGACGTGGWGGACACCGGAGAGGACGAYCGCAGGACCTTACGATCGGCTAGAGGACCGGTATCCCATGTGTCTTTAGGACYRGAGGGTGATAGGGAACTGTTCCGCCGACAAAGGGAAAGGAGAGCTAGAGCAGCCGAGGCCAGSAGGGCATTTGCTAGCGAGGCCAGTGGTATAGCAGCCATGGCTRCMACRACCATGAGCACGTCTGCGCARCAGACTTCCYAAGCCGGAAGTTCAGGTACCGCCGGGTCCACGGTCGTGCAAACCGTGAGTSAGTCCACTGGCTTAAYGGCAAGCCAGCCCGCGRTGTTGTCCCCAGAGGATGTCGCCATCMAGCAGGCAGCCCTGCAAGAGGCACAGCTACAGCAGGCATTAGGAAAGATAAAAAGGGAGAAAGAGATGATGATTAGAAGAAGAGCCAGGATGCAACAGAGGGGCAGACATAGAGGAGTTAGAGACGATGGACCTGACGCATATGGATGAGGATGTGAAGGTAGTTAGGAGGGCCCTGCTAGGCGTAATTGAGATGCAGGAGCATCAA